GATAAAACGCATTCTTCTTGTTTGTTTGTTTGTCTTTAGCTCAAATTCAATCAAATTTGGTACAGACATGGTAAATGATTTTTTTTTTATGTGGGATAGTCAAACAAAAACAACATTGATATTTGTTTGTTTAATTAGCAAAAAACACTCAATCGTGATTATCTCGAAACCTTGATTTTGAGAAAAATGCGTTTTGTCAGATCACGGCAGAATAAGTGTTGACGATCACAGAAGTTTAATAGAAATGAAGCTTAGCGCACTACAGAACTGGCCAACCACCTCCTTGTAAAATTTTGCGCCTGTTTTGCTTGATACAGGCCGTCTACCCAACAGCACTTACAACCCATATCTCACCTAGTACGTCCACTCATCCACTCTCCAAAAGAAAAAAAATACATATGTGAGGCAGCGTGGTGGAATCAGGCTCTTGTCAATTTTAGGGCATGTAGAGTTATAGGTGTCATTTTAAAGCTTGTTCACTTGTCTTTATTTCAATGAAAAAATATCCATTTATCTTGAATACAAGTCGAGATATTTGCCAATGAAGGAGGTGGGGGTCACCTGTTTTCAGAGGAAAAATTAGTGAGAAAATGGCCACCAAAAAGTAGTTATTTTCTTAGCTTAACAGTCCGTGGTAACTGAAAATGTAAATTTTTTGTGTCTTCAATCGACGTTTTTAAGAAAAATCCACACAGAAATGAGTTCTTTAATGGACATGAAAGGTGTTGAGCTAAAAAACAAAAATTTGATAAAAATTCACAAACCTGCGGAAAAATGCTAGTTTGACGAGAGCCTGATTCCACTACGCTGTCTCACATATTGACATAATTGGTGAAACTTACTTACTCCACTCTATCCGTCCTCTTGCACTAATAGGGCATCGAGAGCAGAAAGAGCTTTCTGCCTCTAGAAAGTTGGATGACCTGGCTGGGTGGAATGTTGTATGTTTTCAGGGTATCCTTCATACCCTCGATCTAGGTCTACCATGATCTTCCTCTTGCCTTATACCTTGATATTCTTTGCTGTAAGCTTTACCGCCATGCTGGTGATGTGCCATACGTGCCAGATGTCCAAACCACCTGAATGTTTACCTCTGAATGCCGTGGAGGACAGGTGTTGTTCCCATTATTCCACTGATCCTGTTGTTTCTGATCATGTCCCGTCTGGTTTTGTTGACGTCTCTCCTAAGACTTCTCAACTCACAGGTGGTTGTCTTACATTCCAGCCTTTTTGGCCAAGGTCCAATTGGTAATGACAACTAATAATAGTGTGATATTGTTTGGGGTGACCTCCATTTTCGGACTGCGCGATTCCTTAAGAGATTGGATGTCAGGATTGAACTACCATCTGCAATATCATTGAGCTATGTAGAGCAAAAGACTAGTAAAATTCCCTAATCAACCCATTTTCCCTCTCAGCCCCCCGTTTGGGATTCGAAACAGGACTAAACATTCAGTAGAACACAAATGGAGCTTTAGTGGTGGGCGGTTCTTTCTGCTGTCTGATGATTGAGGTTCTGGTACACTAAATCGTCGAGGTTGCAAATCCTAATGTATGAAAAATGCTTATGAATGTCCTTTTGTTAGTTCGGATAAGTATTAATTTTTAGTAATACCGATGAAAACAAACAAACTAGCAACAACAATTTAAAAAAAAGAATAACAACAAAAGTACAAATAATCAACCCTTACAAAAATTTTATTCGCCGTTTTAGAAAAACATAGTGACGACTGAGGTGCAGCTGCCAGGCTTCAAAAGGCGGGACTTCTGTTCTTGCCAGAGAAAGAACATGTGAGTCGAGTGTCCCTGTCTGTCTGCTCGGTGAGGCTATGGCAGATGAGTCAAAGCAACTCCACGCCTAACGTGAGCGTATCTTTAGGCGTTTAGTAATGGATCAGCCACCTGAGATAGGACTCAAATG